GTTGAGTGACTCGAGTCCGACGGGCGCGTAGCCAGTGTTTGTGGCCGGCTGTAGTCGCGCGAGCCGCTCGCGCTTGTGCTCCTCGGGCTGGGCGAAGAGCGCCTCCGCTGCGGCAAAGGCTCGGCGTCGCAGCTCGGCGCTCACGCCAAAGTTGATGACCTGGACGAAGCCGGTGTCGCGGCAGGCCAGGTCGATGGCCTTTGCGCCTGCTAGCTGCGACGCAGTGGGGACCGCGCCCACGACGACGCCCTCGTCGGCCATGAAGGGACTGAGGTCGACGGTGGCGACCATCAGTGCTGTCGACCGCTGCTGCCCGCACCCTCGCCGCGAATCCCGGCTAACCTCGAGATCTGCACCTTGGATGTGGCTGCGCTCCCTGTTTCACAGCCATCCGTGCTAAGGATGGCTGGCACGCCTAGATCTCAGCCATACACTCCTACCCGATGGCTGGGATACATGGCTGCAATTGCAGGATCCTAGCCACTCCGCCCTACCAGCACACGCCATTTTGGCTGCCATCCAGCCAGTGCAGCCATCCTCCGGCCGATGGCTGGCAGGCTCTCACTATCACGGGCACACTGACTGAGGCGGCCAAGGCTCACGCGTCACGGTCACGCCGTGGGTGGCAGGGGCGGTGATAGGAGTCTCCCACTCTGTGGGCTTCGCTAGTGTAGCTATTGTTGGCAAAACAAGACACAGAGCTCACACATCGCTAGTGGGTGCGGCCTGCGCGTGTCCTCGCCCTTGCGGTCTTGAGGGGGAAGGGGAACGGGCTGTGTGTCTGTGCATGTGCAGCCGCCGCCAAAAGGGAATCAGTAACCAGCCTCCGGCGGGGCCCCCCGCTACCATCCAAACCCGAGACCGGTCTACTAATCATAGATAGAGGCTCAAGTGTGACATAAGTCCACATACATACGACACACATACACAAAGCAACTCTCACGACAACACGGGCACCGGGTGGAGCGGCGGCGGCGGCGGCAGCGGCACGCGCGGGCGGACGGATTCGGACGGGGCGGAGCAGCGACCGCCTGGGCGGCCGCTGCTCTGCAGAGCGCGCCGTCTGTCTGCGCAGCTCGAGCGCCGTCAGGTGCAGGGAAGCGTGGCGGCGCGGGGACGCGCGGCGGCGGTGGCGAGCAGGCGAGCGGCCCGCGCGCGGCGAGGCGGACAGGTGATCGGCAGGTGGGTGATGGGCCGGAGAGTGACCGCGCCCAGCGATCGGAGGCGAGCCGGTCGTCGCTCGGCCGCAGCTGACCTCGAAGGCGTGCGAAGCGCGACTGTCGGTGTCGGGGGGCGGCCGTCATGTGGCGAGGAGGGAGGACGACAAGTGCGCGTCGTACGGGTCGCTCTTCATCGGCCAGTCGAGCGGACGGTAGGTCGGTCAAAGTGAGCCGGTGTGCGGTGAGGCCGGCGAGATTCGTTGCGAGATACGGTTCGCGCCCAAACACAAGTTTGGACGCTCTGTGGACGCGCCGCAAAATCAGGCAATTGGAAAGGGGGCTACTGGGGTGGCCAAATTCACACCTCGCGGGACTACTTATGTTTTCGTAAACGTAGTCGTGGCCCCCCGCTACGTCGCACGAGTGCAACCGGGTAGCGGGGGGCTAAAAGGCTAGGAGGGGAGGTCGGGCCCCGCGCCCGTCGGATGATCATCGGAAGGCGAACAAGAGGAAGAACTCAGAGGAGGGGGGAGCCTCCTCCGGACGGGAGTGAGGATGAGGACCCTGTGCGAAGGGGCCCTGAACGGTGACGGCGTGTGAGAGTGCGTGTCGTGTTCATGTCTGGTGTTCATTATAGCTCCGAGTAGAGGGGGCGGTCTGCTGCTAGGGGAAACCCGGAGCGCGGAGCCAACCCTCGGAGACCCGTGTTTACTTTAAGGCCCTTTCCCTGCGAACGCGCACCCCCGGGGCTAGGGCTCTCTTGCCCGCAACCCGACACCGATCATCCGGCCCGCTGGGTGCGCTTCTTAGCTCCTCGGCCCTGGATGTGAGGCTACCGACTGCACTCCAAGTGCTCCAAGTTCACGCAGGCTTTGAGCACTTGAGCACTGGATAGGGTCGATTCCGCGGGGTACGGGACCCCTCGATCGTCTCGCCCTCCCTCACTCCGGATGCTAAGTATTGTTTGCGGGGTATGCGCCATCTCCCTCCCTCCCTCTCTCTAACCCACCATATGAACATTCCTT